GTGTAGCAAGACCAGTGTGATTTCTCAGCCGACTGGATCACAGCATGCATAGGTGGCTGACTGCAAACCATATATAAGACACTGTCCCATAATGCTTGAGCAGATCACCACATGCCTCATCCATTCCTAATGCACAAGGTAAGACAAGTTAATGATCAACTTTGAGAAGTGCTTGGTGTGTAATGATTTGTATCTGTATTGATTTTTTTCAGCTGCGAGAGTTATCAGTTTTATCATCACAGGAATGCTGTAATAAAGAATCTGTATTTTATATCATATATTCCAAACCATAGGAAACAGAGTTCTTGTTGAATGTTTAATGTTTTAAACAGATAAATGGGCTCTACATCAAAGGTCATATAGCATTATGATTCTTGTTGAAAGAAGAGAAAATTACTTTGGAAACCTATAGCAATAATAGTGCAGGCACAAGTAACATGAATTTATATTGGGTTCTGGTATAGAGTTATAACTTGTTCATCCATCAGAGTTTGTTAATAGAGAGTCTGATTTCAAAATTACTCTTTTCTAGTGCATGTTCTAATTGCTGATTTTTTTTTCAGATATATTCATTTATTTATTAATTATGTAATTGTAAGTCATCAGGGTTTTAATGAATAAGAAAAACAATTATATAGTTTGTTTTGAAAAAATAAGAATTAAAGGGGAACAGTTCACATCTTGATGGATGTCTACTTTTTTTTCTTTTCTTTTCTTAAAGGGGGGCTTCATTCTTGAGTTTTATGCCTTTTGTGTGTACTGGGGTCGGGGAACCAGGAGAGTTTGAATTGGTGGGGGTATTTAATGAAGGGGCAAGCCTCATTGGCTCTAATAAGGGTATTACATCTTCATTACTGGTCATGGGAACCCTTGACTATGTTGGGAAATGAACTGTCCACCCCTCAGGGTCCCCTTGAGGGGTAAGGGCTAGTCAACTAAAAACGGAATACCGTGCCCATGGTTTCCCCAGGCCGTTCAGGACTGGCACAAACTCAGCCTTAATTCATCCTTTCAGCACGGCTCTTACACCTTAGGAAGTAGATAGTAGAAGGGATTGGAGAAGGGACGGAAACGAGAGCTGGAGGGAGAGCAGACCCTGCAAAATTAGTTAAGTCGAGGGCTGAGGGCCAAGGCAGGGGAGATCCCTGCATTGGGTCCCATTCTCCGTCTCCTAAGCCCCCCCACGACAACAACGGGCAAGGGATTGGGGGGGGGGGGGAGCGACAGTGCTTTGCGGGGTGGCCGAAAAGCCAACATTTCTTGCATTGACGGGGAGGATGTCGTTATGGTCTGACTTGTGGCCGTATTCACAAACGATGCGAAGACCTTATACGACGACCTTATACAAACATCGTATAAGCTCGATGGTGCGTACCCAGAAACACTACGAAGGGCGGGACTTTGCGACGGCGATCGCATCATTTACCAGGCGTACCAACATTCCGATTGCTGTGATGGTGGGCAAGGTTGGTATGCCGCGCATCACCTGTTCAACGTAAACAAGCATGAACGCTAAGAAGACAGACCGTACAATTCCTCTCTCTGAAAAGCAACAGCTTTGCCTGGTGAGTCTCGTCACCGAGAGAGCTGACGTGGTTCAGTGTAAGAGCCAGGACCCCATGCTCCTGAATAGAAAAAAGAAGATTTGGGATAAAATTGAAGCTGAGTTTCGTGCAAGAAACCCAGGATGTGAGCCTCGTGGAGCACAGCAGCTCAAGTGGTCATGGGACCACATTAAACGGAGGTAAGTTGTATTTACGACTGTTCATTTTAAAAAATCATTACAACACATTGCAACATTTTTAAATCTAGGGGAGCATAGGTCATTTTGGGGTTGCAAAGGAAAGAATGTGGAATGTTAAATGTCATTGCTATAACTGAAATATGTTTGTAAATCAGATAAATTCAAAGGATATGTTGAATCTGGCATGATTATTATTCATTCTCTGAGTAAATGGTGTATGTTTATTTAAAACAAATAATGATAATGATAAACCCAGGCCAATTAAGGAGAATTGATGTGATCGATTTAAATAATTTTGGAATAGGCAACGAGTCCGACGAAATTAGGCATCATTTTGATAAGAATTCCATAACAATACTTTTAGGAGGGTTAATCATATATCCCGAGACTGTCAATGAAAAAAAAATCTGCTTGGTAACTGTCTTCTATATTATGAAACCATCCCTATTTTTGCATTCTTGTCGTGAACAGCTAAATTATATGAATTAATATGAAAGATGGGAATTAAAAGAAATAATAAATTGGATTTACCTTTCTCTGAGCCCAAATATAAATTGAATTGGTGGCAGTCAGACAAAGAAATAAACAAATGAGTAAATAGCATTGTGTCAATCAAATGAACTTGTATTTCATGCCATAAGAACCATCTAACCATTTATGTCATACAAATATATTTGTCATTATTTCATTTGCAGTAGCTATGAAAAAGATCTAAGAAGGTTATGTAATGGGAAACATGTGTGTCATTATTAAATATTGTTAGTTTTGCACAATTTTACTACGCAGATGACAGCTGGCATCCATCCCCCTGCACTGACAGTTTTCAATTTTAGGCCAATAATGTTTTTCCTAATGTTTTGGCACTTACTATTATTTGACTAATAGCCATTCTAATGCATGATTAAGAATTTTTATATAACAACTGTTATAAATTACAACTCATAATTAGCTCTCCTTTCTATTTTTTTGGTCAAAATTTGATCAGTATGTTTCATTATTTTGACAATATTTATTATATTTTGCGGGGTCTGACAGCACTGTTTACCTTTTTCCTCAATATTTGCTTATTCAGCTCTATCTTGGCTGTATATATAATATGAGTCTGCCGAGAATGTATCCCAGGTGGGGTTATGGGGGTCAGGCTATTTTTACATCCAATACTTTTGAAAATAGTTGTAAATGCAGCTTTCACTATTAGGAGAAACAATTTTATTTTTAAATTTGAATTCTTTGCTTTACCAGATATTTACCACAAATATTGTTTGTTCTATTTATCATGTTTACATGTGTTGTATTTTACATTAAAGGTCTATGCCTAGGTTTTGCGTACCTTTAATAGTGCAATGATTTATAAGTTAGATGTATGTGTTAAGTAATGAAATATTTTCTCTGAAAAGCAACTAACTGTAAGTATGGTTTTATGTACTTTGAGTTGACTTTCAAAAACTGTAACTTCTGCATTTATCTACAGAGTGAAACAGGAGCAGGCAAAGCAGAAGAGAAGGAGAAGTACTACTGGTGGAGGTCCACCACCAAGTCCACCAAGCATGACTGAGGCAATGTCTGCTGCTGCCATAATCATGGGTCATGAGCTGGCCATGAACGATGAGCCATACGACTCAATAGGGTTACACCCTGTTGATGAGGACGGTGATCCAATTGCCAGTGTGTCCATAGGTAGGTTCAGTCATAATTTTAAAATGTTACATTGTTTGAGCATAAACTATATATTCCATAGAGAAGTTAAAGATAACTTAGGATTAATATAAACTAAAGTTTTCCCTAAGTTATCATTACAGATTTGGTATAGAATATCCATGGAACAGTAATAAAATGCTTAAATTTAGCCATGATTTCTAAAGTTTAACTTGGCAATCATTTAAAAGCCATTTGTGATTGAAATTGTACTTTTTAAAAAATCATTGTAACTATTTTTTTTATTTATTACAGATCTTATAGATCTACAACAGCCAAGCACATTCAGTGTCCCTGCTCCATCCATTTCTTCCTTCACTCCTGTTCCATCCCCATCCCTTAATCCTTTTTCCTATTCAACCACTACCTCCACTCCCTTCACTCCTGTTCCAGCCCCTTCCCTTAATCCTTTTTCCTATTCAACCACTACCTCCACTAACCCATTTCACTCCAATCCTTCCTCCTTCCTTAGTTTTCCCCATCTCCCTTCTGCATATCTCCCACCTACACCTTCACCTTCCATAGTCGCCCAACACCTTCTCAAATTCCTTCTACTCCTTCCCCTTCACTAGTCCCACCTTCTTCACCATTTCCACCTTCTCCTTCACCGGTCACCACCCCTTCACCCTGTATTGTTGAGACTCCAGTCCAGGAACCTCCAAAGAAGAGGAAGAGGACAATACAGGAAGATGTATTTGAAAAGGCCCAGGAGAGGCAGGACAGCTTTCTCAGACAGAAGGAGAGGAGATTGGAGGAACAACACCAGGCACAAATGCAACTATATGTAAGGACAAATCAGCTGTTGGAGAATGGTGACCAACACATTAAAGCACTGTCTGGTAGGCTTGGATGCTTTTTAGACGCAGGGCACGAGGCATACACGAGCATGTCTGAAGCGTATAAGATGATTGCAGAGTCAATTAGGCGACAGCACAATATGTAATGTTTGTGTTTATTTATTATTACCATTATTATTGTTTTATTATTTTATTTATTTGTATTTTTTTCTTTTGTTTTTGGGATACAAGAAAAATTACTTATTTTCTTTGGAGAAGTTTTTTGCTTTGTAATATTACATCATAGTCTAGGAATTTGTTTAAATCTGGTACATATATTCTTGATGTTGAAGACCCAAATTCTGTTTCAAGTCAATCAGGCGTTTGGGGACAGAATTATGGGGTTTTGAAAATTATAGTATTTCAGGCCTTTTCGCATTCCTCCCCCCCCAGAAAAAAAATTGTAGAAATTTCTTTATATCCTAGGCAGGCCAGTGAGGGCTCATTTTGAAGCTCTGAGATATAACCAATAATGGATTTGGACCAGTGCTAGGGAAAGTGTTATGAAATGTACTTGAAAAACAAACTTTTTTTCCATTTATCTCTGAGAATTAGTACCCCCCCCCCTGACTGTTTCTTGTGCCAATCAGTTGTTTAATCAGAGTGGAACCTCAAAGGGTTTTGAAGCTGTGAATCTTTTTATTGGGTTATTACATGTGAATTCAACAGGAGTTAGATTACCTCATAGCTTAGGATTTTGTTCAAATTTGGTATAAATTTTCTTCTTGGTGTGGAAGACCCCAATTCCAAATTTCAAGCCAATTAGGGTTTTGGGGACAAAATTATGGTGTTTTGAATATTTTAGTATTTTGGGGTTTTGCACAGCCCCCTGAAAGGAAAAAGAGTAGTGTTTTCTTTCATAATAACCCCAGAAAGGCCAGTGAGTGCTCATTTTGAAGCTCTCTTTGAGATATGTCCAGAAATGCATTTGGACCAGTGCTAGGGAAAGCATATGAAATGTACTTGATAATATACTTTCCCTAACACTGGTTCAAATGCATCTCTGGACATATCTCAAAGAGAGCTTCAAAATGAGCCCTCACTGGCTTTCCTAAGGTTATTATAAAAGAAAATACTACAATGTTTCCTTTCGGGGGTTGCGCGAAACTCCTAAATACTATAATTTTCACAAGATAATTTTGTTCTCAAAACCCTAATTGGCTTGAAATTTGGAATTTGAGTCTTCCACATCAAGAAGAATATAAGTACCAAATGTAAACAAAATCCTAAGCTATGATTTAATATTGCTATCAAACTCCTGTTGAATTCATATAGAATGACCCAATAAAAAGATTCATAGCTTCAAAACTCTTTGAAGTTCCACTCTGCTTTTTCTATCCTGAATAGTTTGATTAAACAACTGATTGGCACAAGAAATATGCTGTGTGTGTGGGGGGGATACTAATTCTCTGGGATAAATGGAAAAAAAATCTTTGTTTTTCAAGTATATTCCATAACATACTTAACCTGTTGCTGGTCCAAATGCATTTCTGGACATATCTCAAAGAGAGCTTCAAAATGAGTCCTTACTGGCTTTCCTGGGGTTATTATAAATGAAAATACTAACATTTTTCCTTCTGGGAGGCTGCGTAAAACCCCGAAATACTATAATTTTCAAAACCCCCAAATTTTGTCCTCAAAAGCCTGATTGACTTGAAACTTGGAAGTTGCATCTCCCACATCAAAATTATCAAGTTATTTATGGTGTTTTTTTTGTGAAAGGAAAAGAATCTGTGATAATTGTAAATGTAAATGTCTTTATGTCTGTGATAGCAAGAAATGTGTGATAAAAGAAAAAATAAAGGTTTCTGTGATAAAAGATAAATGCCAATTTTGTTAGAAGTAATCATATTGATAATGTTTTGTAATGAACTACCAAAGAAGTTTAATTTTGTATTGAGAAAAATAAATATTTTTTGCCAATTATATATTTTATTCACAAACAACAGAACAGATATTGTAAATTCTTACCATCCATATACATGTATATGTATTAATTCCTTTGCAATCATATATTTAACAGTGCTTCTATAAATGCATTATACGTAACAGAAAAAATAATCAGTGAATCAATTAATCTCTAAAGCAGTAGGAGAATTAATTACATAATCATTAATATTTCACACGTTTATTTATTAATCAATATAAGAAATCATAGAGCAAAAGCCAAAACACATTTTAAATTGTAATTCAAGGCAAACAAAACATGAACCTCTAAACAGCATATTAATAATTAAAAATAATTTTTTTTATGAAATAATATACCCAATAATTCTCCATAATATGAAACATCCATTATCACAAGAGACCAGCACTGACTAGCACTAAAAAGTAAGGAAAAAACTTTGTGTCACTTCAGAAACCACCGGCCCAGTGTCAGAATCCACATCAAGAACAAAAATATATTTTTTCTTCATGATTTTTTTTATACAATCAATAAATATCTTTTGCTCAAAAAATATACATTGCCAGTTAATATTTTCCTAGTTAGAAAAAAAATAAATAAATAAAAATATAATGATATATCTAAATCTTAGAAAAAAAAATCAACAATAAAATTTCTCCGGGTATTGTCTTCCTGCACACCCTGAGCTTTGATACCAGGGGCATCTTGAGGATCAAGTTGGACATCTGGTAGATCTAACAGAATTTTATAATTGCAATGTTGTGCAAAACTGCACAAGCCATAATGATTTTTTTGCTTGTGTCCAACTTAGTCCTCATTGGTATAGATAGGACAGCAAATCTCCTTTTAAGCACACCAAATGCTCTCTCTATAGTATTCCTAGTGACATGGGATACCTACACTGCTTGTCAGTACTAGGATTACCAAAAGGAGTCAGAATGTAGGACCTACAAGGATATCTAGTGTCCCCCAAAAGAAAGCCTTTGAAACTACCTGATCGCAGCTTCTCACATAAAAGAGACTCATTAAAAATACGAGCATCATGGGCACTACCAGGCCAGTTTGCAATAACATTTAAACATTTTAGGGAAGCATCACAGACACCCATCACATTCAAAGAAAAGAATCCCTTGTGGCATCGATACAGTTCAGCATCTACTCCACCAGGACTTCTAATTGGAATGTGTGTTCCATCAACACACCCAATTACACATGGCATCCCAGCAATCACAGAAAATTGGCTCATGACGGTTTCTTCATTGGTTGGCTCTGGGAACTTGATGTGCCTTGGTGCCAATTCTGCTATCCTAGCTGCAATAACTGAGACACATCAACTGATGCTGGACTGGGACACATCTGAACAGTGAGCCATGCTCAGCTGAAAATTGCCAGTTGCCATGTATCTCAGAGCTATGGTCAGTTGAAGATGAGGTGGGATCGGGCTACCTGTGAAATAAAATAGGGATCATTATATAATATACATATATCTAAAATTTGGCATATACATCTTGCAAGAGCAAGGAGAGAGGTATTAATTTATACACTTATAAATAAGTGTTTTTAAGTGTATTTTATGAACTAGAATTGTTAGAACAAATTTTGAGAAAAATTTATGTTCCATATTAAAATACATATTATGCTCACCTCTGTTATTGTGAACTACTGCTAGACGGTGTCTGATGGTCTCAAGCAGTTCAGTGACACACTCTTTAGTCACCCTGTATCTTGCCACAAATTCTTCAATGCTGTAGGATTGAAAAGGATTCATCCTATCACGTACCACATACCTTTCGACTGTGGCTCCTCTTTGCAAAGCAATAAGATGTTGCAGATGCTGCAAATGATCCATTCTGAAATATATGACAATTTTATTAATAAATTAACATCTGGTAATGTACTTGTCTTTAAATTTGCAAGGTGACTTTATAGCCTAATTAGAAACTTAGAGTATGTTCTAAAACATATTTCACATTTACAGAATAATATATCCAATTAAAATTAAACTGATAATAGCATTTATATATATATATATATATATATTATATATATATATATATATATATCTATGATCATTACAATTTTCTCACTAAATTATGCCAATATTTCCTGAATTTTTCAGGTACCGTAAATTGTAATTTCAATTTTTATATGCATTAAAAAATAACACTAGTTATATCCATCTAAATGCGTTTCATTCTTATTTTATGACGAAGAGCTACCAAAATAATTGACACTGTCAATATATATATATATAGACAGGGAGAGAGAAGAGGGAAAGAAGAGAGAGAGAGAGGAGGGAAAAAAGAGAGAGAGCAGAGGAGAGAGAGAGAGAGAGAGAGAGAGAAAGAAAGAGAGAGAGAGAGAGAGGGAAAGAAAGAGAGAGAGAGAGAGGAAAGAAAGAGGAGAGAGAGGAGAGAGGGGAGAACG